GCCGGGATGATATCAGTCAGTGGTGAGATAGTAAGTTTTACATGTTTATATAATTATTATTCTATCTATGTTTATGTTGAATCGATGCATAGTATGAATTTTACCACTGAGCCGAGAGACGATGCTCACCCCCTTTGTTTTTCAGGTTGATCGAGCTGGCGGCGGACACGAGAGGACGGACGTGGTCGTCTTTAATTATAATTATATTTTCTGTAAACTCTATTGAAATTTGTATTCAAATTTGAACGTTGAAATTACAGATTGATTAAGTGAAACGTATTATTTTATAACATTTATTTATATTCTGAATGTCTTGATAGAAATAATAACTTTTGTAATGTCAGTCGAAATTGAGATAGATTAAGTAATGCCCGTTATACAAATTTTTAAAATGATTTGCGAAAAATAAACTCTGGTTTTTAGAAAAATATTTGGTATTTTATCTTTCAAATAACGGGGCGTTACATCACTAGCTCAAATTACAAAACAAAGACACAAGCTAATACTACTACTAAAAGCAAATGCAACGATTTGACCCCTTTAGTAAATCAACACACCACACCAACACTACTAACAAACAAAGAGGGTAACTAAACAAACCTAACAACCACAAAGCAACAAATAACACACGAAAAGGAGACCACTATACCGAAAACGGACCTAGCCTCCAAAACCGAAAACAGCTAAAGAAGAAATCAAAATCACCGATTAATCAAGCTAAACTCCGACCATTCTCGCATCGCTTGACGGATTATCACATATTCCGGCATCCACACTTTTTGAATGATCCACAAGTTTCAAGATTTCCAAAGCCACCATAATATGTAGGTTGAGAGTTGGATACAGGCTTCAGAAATAAAAGATTTATCGAGCTCAGATATAGTCCACCACCACACTTTGAATTTTGCAGAGGGAGCTTTGATCGGGTCCCAGGACAGTGGTGCAAGCTTCCACACAGTAACAACTCTCGGGCAAGAAAAAAACAAGTGTTCAATTTTTCAGAATTCTCACCACAACAAGGACATAAATGATCAATTTTAAGCCCCTTGATTCTTAGATTAGAGCTCACTGGTAAACTGTTAGTGAAACATCGCCAAATGAAATGTTTGATCTTACCTTTCACTTTCAAATTCCAGCACCTCTGTCTTGCTTTTTTGTCTGAGTTGGCTGATGAGCTGCTACTCGGCCAGTCCATATTCAATATCTTCTTCATGACAGCAACAGAGTATGCTGAGGCCACTAAAAATCTTCCCTTGGCATCTGCTGACCACCCACCTATCCTTTGCTATTGGATCCAATCCTCTCATCTGAAGTATAGCTTTGCTGGATTCAACAGTGAACAGCTCCATAATAAGGTCTTTGTTCCAAGTCCTCCCATCATTATTTATCAACCCCTTCACCCAAGTAACAGATAAACAACTCACTCCCTCTTTCAACTTTGGAATACCTGTGGCCATACCAGCAACCCAGGGAATAGACATGATTTCGGTATTGAGGCCATCTTTCACTTCTCTTCTAAAACCATCCTTGTATAGATTCTTCACTCTAACCCAAGAGTTCCACAGCCATGAGGCAGAGCTGCTTTTCTTGGCTTCAAGGACACTACCAGAAGAGAAATATTTTTCTTTAAGCACCCTTGTCATCAGCGAGTTAGGCTTAGTCATAAGCCTCCATATCTGCTTTAAGATCAGAGCATCATTGAATACCCTAATATCCTTGAATCCCAGTCCACCTGCCCTTTTAGGAGTGGTGATTTTACTCCAAGCGACCCAGTGAATTCCCCTATTCAAGTCATCCCCCTTTGACCACCAGAAAGCAGCACTAAGCTGAGATATCTCCTTGCAAACACTGACAGGCAGACAAAAGCAGGACTTCAGAAAAATAGGCAATGCACTAATAACAGAGTTTATTAATACCTCATTCCCAGCTGTTGATAGGAACTTATTCCCCCATCCTCTAACTCTCTTTTTCACAGCCTCAGTTGCAAAATGGAAGACTTCCTTCTTAGATCTCCCCAATCCCATAGGAAGCCCCAGTTACCTTGTAGAGCTACATCTTTCAATCCCATTCAAAGTCTGGCACACCACAACTTTAGCTGCCTCACAAGAATTTCTACTGAAGAATACAGATGACTTAGCAAGGTTCACTCTCTGCCCTGTAAAGCTTTGATAAGCTGCCAGAACTCTCAACAGACAGTTAGCATTTTGGTGATCAGCAGCACAAAACAGAAGTGCATCAAAGTAAATGGGACAAAGTAGTGCCACCCCTAGTGAGTCTCAATCCCTGCATCTCTTGAAGAGTCACTGCATTCCTGATCAATCTAGAGAAGACTTCAGATACTAGTAGAAAGAGATAAGGGGACAAGGGGTCCCCTTGTCTAATTCCCCTAGAAGGGGTCACAAAACCAAAAACTTTCACATTTATATTGAAAGAGTAAACTGCAGATGCCATACAACCAAAGACCCACTGCACAAAAGACCTGTGGAAACCCATCTGAAGCATGGTTTTGACTACACAGTTCCACTCAGTACGATCATAAGCCTTCATCATATCTAATTTAACAACCATAAAAGGCTTTGACCCTGTTCTGTGATTATTTAGATAGTGAATAACTTCATGTGCCACCACTACATTATCAAGAAGCTGTCTGTCAGGAATAAAGGCTGCTTGAGTCTCATGGATACAGAATTTCAGACACTCTCTCAATCTGGATCTTGTAAGAAACACTGCAGAGGCTTATAGGCCTAAAATGATTTAAAGAAACTAGATTCTCACACTTAGGAATAAGAGTAATAACAGTGTGGTTCCAACTGGTTAGCATTCTACCAGAATCAAAGAACTTGCCCACAGCAGCACATAAGTCACCTTTCAAAATAGGCCAGAATTGCTGATAAAAGAGAGGAGTCATTCCATCATTACCTGGAGCCTTGTTTGGATTCAATGAGAATAGAGCTGCTTTCACCTCCTCCTCCTCCACAAGCTATAAGGTCATCATTCATCTCTGTTGAAATAGAGTTGGGAATAAGTGGGAGAACCTCAGACTCACCCCATGAACCTTCTGATTCAAAAAGATTCTTGTAAAAGTTGCTGATAGTCAGCTCAATCTGCTTCTGGCTTTCCATCACTCTATTCTGAGAGTCCACCAGTCTTGTAATGGCATTCTTTCTCCTTCTATACATAGTCATGGCATGGAAGTGAAATTGAAATTGAAATTTCCAGCAGCTTGAGAAATTGAAATTTAAAAGTGAAAAAAAAAAGAAAAAGGATGTAATATTGGATAAGAAAAAAAAGAATATAGGAAAGAAAAAAAGTTGTCATGTTTCATAGGAAGAATTTAGAATGGATACTCGACAATTTATTTGACTTACCAGTGTTAATAGTTCTACATATATAATCAAGGATATTAAAATCAAATTAAAACAATACCCACAAAAAAAAAATTTAAATATGGACATCAAGATAAGATGAAATGCATATCTATTAAAAAAAGATAATTTATGTCACTTTCAAAAGTTCTGAAAATTTCACAAAAAATCATGGACGAAAATTACCCAAATATTTCAAAAAAACATTTCTATAGTAGTAAAAACCGAAAATTTAAGCTGGAATGTCATGCTATTTTTATATTTTTTTTCCTATTGCTATTATATCCCTCTACATCTTAATAACGGGAGGTTGAGGGGCCTCATTGAGTTCCACGTGGCTAGGCTAAAATTTTTGTTGGTGAAAACGTTTTCATACATATATATTATAAGTTATTAGTTGGTATAGAATCTTTGTGGATTATACTGGTAGATCGGAAATTGAATAGACAATAGCACTTTGAACTATACTTAGCCTAAATAACACTTGTTGGGCCCACCTTTTGTAGTTATTTATTCTACATTCATCTCCCCTTGATTTTTTCCCTAAATTTTATTATTCATAAAATATATAATTATATGATAAAATTTAAGCAAAACTATAAATTCAAAATTTTAATTAATTTAACATAATAAATAAATTTATTAGCAAATAATTTGTCAAAAAAATAAATAAAAATAACATGTTTTAGAAAGAAAATTAATTTTATTTTAAAAAAAATGTAGTGCACCGAGCAGTTCAGTATTATATTGGCACAATAGTATTTACATTATCATACGAAAATGTAAAGCACAATTTCAAAGTGAGTTGCATCGTTGAATAGAGTTGCTCTTAGACTTTATTTTTTTTTATGTGACTGCAAAATTTTAGGGTGTGACTGGATACATAAATTTTCATAAAAAATGACCAAAACGTTTATGCCTAGAGTAAATGTTTTTAGACCATATTGCAGACATGGAGCCCACTACTTAAAAAAACTGAAAAAGTTTTTGTTGGCACGTCTTCTCACCTACACTATAAAAAAAAGTTTAATTGTGTTTTATTCTTTAAAACATCCATCTTATTTTCATCCAAAAGATGGCGGCTTTAAGAGAAAATTGTTGAATGACATTGTCTATCAATGATAATATGGTATTATAAAATTTTAATACAACTGAAAAAATATAACATAAAAAAAAATATTCATTACAAAATAGGCCGGAAGCCTATACACGCTGAAAATCGAGATAATTGGAGGCCCTTTGTGGTCAAAACAATTACATAGGCAAACGAAATAGTTCTTAAACCAATTAATGAGTGTGGTGAGTTTTACAACAAATTATTTATCACATAAATAATGTTTTATCAATTGTCTTTGAATTTTGAAAACTAAAAGTCGTGTTTTAACAGTCCTACATGAGTTCACTTGTTTGTCGTCTAAATTTTGGTAGTATAACCTTCAAAAAAAAAAATGCGTTGGTATTATGGGCCCGTTGTACATTGCACAACCGAGAAATTCCTAGTTGTAATATATACATTTCTAGATGAGATGTTTTATATATTTTTATTGGTAAAAAATGTGAAGGGTACGATGGTCTGTTTGCAGCAATTCTGTTCCTCTTCTTCCCGCCTACCTCATTTCCACTTTCCCGCCAAAGAACACAATCAACCACACTCACTCACAACCCTCGACCAAGACGACGACCAAGACGAAGACATGGATGATGTTCCCGATCTCGACGAGCTTCAATGGCTGGAATCCCACACCATCGACCAAGACGACGATCAGTTCGTTGACGACGAAGATGATATCGAACACCCTTCGCCCCCCTCACCACGCGAGTCCCACAAGAAACCAATTCTATCCCTCCCCACAATACCTTCGCCCCTCGAACCCCACCTCCAAATCAGCCGCCCCCCCACCACAAAACGCTTTAGATCTGACCTCGTTCAGCCATGGGATGCGGACGACGATTGCCTTCGCGTCGGAAACAGCTCCGACGGCAAGAGAAGCAGAACAGAGGAAGACGAAGCCCGGTTCGGGCCTGACCGCTCATTCATGGGCCCGGTGATGGGAGGAGTGGACGGAAGAGAAGTTTTGCCGGATGGGGATCCCAATCCCGTGGAGAATAATGTAGTGAGTGACGATGATGATGGCGAGGGGACGAGATCTTCCCGGGAAGAGATGGAAGTGGTGGAGGAGGAACTGGAGAAGGAAGAGAGAATACTGTCAAGATATGCTACGGAAATAGACGGGGATTTTGTGCCTGTCACGGGGTTAGATGGGGAGAGGGTGTATGCCAAGTTATGTAGTTTGGAGATGGATGAGGACGGGAGGAAAAGGGATTTAAGATTCGGAGGAGATTCTAATGGTGAGTGTTTTCTACATTTCGGCTCCCAGTGTTTTATCCGTCTTATTTTCTTGGTAATAATCATTTTGGTGAGATAGTGATTGTGGTTTATGTCTCCATTGTGAATAATCAATTCAATGTGTTGGCCAATTGCTGCCATAGTATTGTTTCTTTTTTCTCTTGATGTTGTTATTTATCCGTATATGGTATGTGTAAACATCTCTAACTCTGGAGGTGTAAAAGATCTGATTGAACTTATAGATTGCCTTGGGAGAATTTCTGAAAGGGTGGCAGACGACTCACACAGTAATGAATGGTGATCTTTGTTACGAGGGCTTGTGATTGTATTATCCCATCTTTCATAGCAAGAATACTCTTATATGTTATTCTGGAACCTGATGAGATGGTACTATTTGCACATTTAATTTAATGTTTATTATTCTCCATGATATATGACTGAGAAAGGCAAGTTAATGATTGATATTTAGGGGTCTTTGGTTCATTTAAATTTCTCTCATTTCTCCTTTTATATGTTTCTAACAAACTCGGATCCAAGTTCAAGCGTAATATCAAATGCTAGTTTTTCGTTTCTGCACATTGCAGTTATGTGGACAATCTTGCAAATGTCCAACTTACTGGATGGTGAAGGACCTATGCAAACTGATACTATATTGACTAAAGGGGATTTTGCAAACATGCAGGACTGCTTAAGGAATCTGTTAAAGTTCTAATGCAAAGAGTGGAGCATGAGGAATTCACAAAGGTACTCTTTCTTTCTTGAAAAGACTGATAAATTCAATGCATTCTTTATCTCGTCTTAGTTTTCTCTACTTTATTTTGTCGTTCCCTAATGAATAAATTTGAACTTCTTAACAGCTATATTTTACAATAATACAAACATAATTTCTATTATTTCTATTGATTACAAGTGTCATTCTCGAACAAAGAGAACAACTGGAATTCTTTCGGGCATTCTGTTCTTACCTTGATTCAGAATTTCAGATGAACTCTCTATTTTAAGTCTTTGAATTTTCATTTCACACTAGCGTATGAATGCCAGTAGAAATCATATAATTATTGTGGAAATATTTTACATTAGCTAAAACTGTTCGTGATGCTTTTTCCTTCCGAATGAAATTAAACTTCGGGCACATAGAGAACTGTTGGATTTCTTTTTACTTTGATGTTCTCAGTTTCAGCCTTTCAGTTCTCATTCCGTGTCAATACATGTGAAGTTCCAACTTGTGGGATGACATTTGAAACGCTTTTCGTGCAACATAACTGAATTTTTGCCAAATTATTTGCTTAGGATTTACTTGGAAAATGAGATTTTGCTTGTGCCGAAACTAGAAAAAGTGCACTATAGAAATACATTACCCTCCATTGTAAACCATCTATATTACAATTTCAATCTCAGATCATGTATTCAGTTAATTCTAGCTTAATTTTCTGTTAATAATAATTTATAGGTCTTGCTCAAGTCATAATTGTAAATCCTCTTAACTTATGTTAGAAAATTTCAGGAACTGAAAAATGCCTAATTTTATTTTTCATAATGATTAGGTAATGGGCAAGTTGATATCTTGCTGAAGGATTTCTTGTTATGTTTTTAATTGTGAAATCATTGTCCATAAAGACTTGATATTTCATAAGAAGAAGTGAGTTGTGTTGATTTTGTAATATGTTATATGTTACATGTAATGTTTGTTTGTGTAGGCTTTGCAAGCAAGTGTTGATGGCTGTCCAACTGAAGTAACGCGTTCCAAAGCTCCAGTTACTGATGAGCAACTTTGGGTGGACAAATATGCTCCAAGTTCATTTACAGAACTTCTCAGTGATGAGCAGACAAACCGTGAAGTAGGTTTGCCGCTTTAGTTGGTTTATTTGTTACTTTGTTTTTGCTTAGTTTATTGAATATAAAAAGAAAAGAAAAGAAGGAAATGCAAAGGTATTGTAGTCATTAGGTTTAATCATTTGGTCTTGTCTATGGCAGGTTCTCCTGTGGTTGAAACAATGGGATAACTGTGTATTTGGATCTGAAATTAAGAGCACCACAGATGATGTTTTGACTTCTTTGAGACGACATTATTCAGGATCTCAACATTCTAAACAATTTGCAAAGAGTTATTTTGGAAAGAATAAAGAAATCAGGTTGAGCAGTAATACAGTGGGAATTCACAATTGGATGGATAAAGAAAACAATGTCTCCATAGGCATTCAGGACACGTGGGGCACGAGGCACAGAAGTTCTGGACCTCCAGAACAAAAGGTTAGTCAGTTTCATACCTTGTCCTTTCAAGTTATTCTGACTTTTATCTTTAAATATTCCGTTCCAATAATCTTCCATCCACTTCTATTTAGTTAAGCTAAACTTTTATGTATGGAATTGTAAATTGCAGGTTGCATATGCAATCATGTTTTAGTTACTTCATTTTGTTATCAACTTGTGGGGAGCTGTATTCCATACAATTGAAATTTATAACATAAAAACACGTTCCTAAATATGGTTGTGCGGTCCAAAGAGAATGATTTTCTGACTTGAAAAGCAGCATCCGTACCGAGAAGGGACCCAACAAGAAGTTGAATGTTCGTAGAAAACGAATGAAATAGCAGCCAACAGTCATTATAGGGCCACTCTTTAACGATGTCAGCAAGCATAATATTTGTTGTAATGATGTGCATGTTATCTTTATGTCAATCATGTCACGGTATTATTTCCAACTGGAAAATAATTGACAAATGTAAATGCATCCTGAAATTTTATTCTACAAACTCTTAGATAGAGTTCATTTTTGTTGTATTATATTGGCATATTACATTAACCTACTGCTTCTTCTAATATGATTGCACTTTAACCCAGAAAGTATCACAAACACATATATGTATAGACACCCTATTATTGATCCTAATCCTGTGCAATCAGAATATACTGAGTAGTTAAACCTTACTGAGGTGTCTTTTGTAACGCCAATTGATTTTAATTAAAATAAAATTTTAGGTTTACCTAATGGTTGAAGCATGTGTTGGGAACAGAGAAGACAACCAGTTATTTTTTATACTTTAAGCAATGACATTGTTTTACATTTTTGGATAGTATGTACACGTCTGTACCCATATGTATGCACACATGTGTGCTCATATGTCAATCTATCAGTCAAAAGAACTCAACAAGCTTTAATTTGCCTTTCCCTTACACCAAACCTTGCCCCAGCTTTAATTTAGGCATTTCCACTGACTAGGGTGTGCTTGTTCAGTTTTAACGTGTTTCAGATTTTGCATGATTTGGGAATAAAGGGATGACATCTACTGTTGATTAAACAGTACAAATGATACTATTATGCCATGATACATACCATTATTATATCTTGTAGGTTGTTGGGCATTGGAGTGGGCTTTATTAGTGGTTTTGGTATTTATTGCCCAAGTTATCTTCCAGGGTTCCGATACTATATCTATCTTCAACGTGGTGACCGATATGAAACATGACAAACTAATTTTCTGTCATACATTTTGTTGCTGATCTGGCCTACTTTTTCATTTTCCTTTCCCTGCTTTTGTGTTTCTTTTCTTTCTTTACATGAAATTGTTTTGTACCTTCCTAGTGTTAAAATGTTGTTATTGCTTCCCTGTACCACCTGTATTAGTGAAAGTTGTCTTTTATAACATCAATCAACTGCTCCTTATTGGATAAAGATAGGTAGTTCAAAATATTTCAAATATTCCATTTGTGTAAACTTAAATCATTATGCATTCATTCTGAGCTAGCACTTTTGTTTTATTTTCTGACATGTATAATACATGCTTTAACAAGAACGTTGATGACCATCACAGATTTTGTTGCTTTGTGGCTCCCCAGGACTTGGCAAGACAACACTTGCACATGTGGCAGCAAGGCATTGTGGCTACCGTGTTGTTGAGGTCTAATTATTTAAACCTTTTACGTCTCTGAGAGCTCAATGTATTTTTATTCACTGATTAGATTGCTAAAGTGGATTGCTGGATACAAATTATTTATTTGTTGTGAATGAATAATTTGGTGCAATGGATTTGGATTGAAGGGTAATTGTGTCACAACATTCTGATAAGAATGAATCTTACAAATATAAATATGTGCTTCTATCTTACTGTACACATTAGATAATTTTTTCAGCATATAATGGGAATCTTCTTATGATGATACTCCATTATTTCATTCTGACTGCATAAGAGTTCTGTGCTCTCTGGATTATGTAGTTTTTCATGTGATTTCCACCTAATATGCAGCTATCATCAGACTTCCATTGTTATGAAATCACCAATGTATCAAATGTATTATATGACAGAAGTCTCTGAAGCTTTCCATTCTGTTTGCAGATCTTTTTATCAAAATGTCTTTTCCACTAATTGGCTGTCATTCATTTGACAGATAAATGCAAGTGACGACAGGTCATCATCAACCCTTGAAGCTAAAATCCTCGATGTGGTCCAGATGAATTCGGTTATTGGTGATTCAAAGCCAAAGTGTTTGGTTGGTTTCAGTGTGTAATTATTACTTTGTGCAATGCATTTGCCTGTTGTGCTAACTGCTAATCTAACATGTAACTGCGGGCATTCTAGGTTATTGATGAAATAGATGGTGCACTTGGAGATGGGAAGGGGGCTATTGAAATCCTTCTTCAATTGGTAATAGTGCAATTCTTAACAATCACTCGCAGCTAATTAGTTTGCACTCAATGCCAATGTCTCTTGATTGTATCTAAGAACTCTTTTAGTTTTCTATTGCCAGAGAAGTAAAGTCATCCCAGTTATCCTGATTTTTATTTCATGATCAGATGTTGGTTAATAGTTTTGCTGGATACCTCCTTTTTGCAACTATTTCTATTTGTGATAACTACTATTCTGCACTTTTGTTTCCAGATTGGTTTTTATTTATTTATTTTTTTTTCTGTTTTCTTTTGGCTCCTTCCTAAAATGAAATGTGTTTTTGTGAAATACGACCAACTTTAATTGTAATACAAGCATGTGTGGGTTAAATGTGGTAACAATGGAGAACAATGCTTATTTGTTAGTTGAAGTTATTTAGAGTACTAACTAATTTAATGTCCCTGGTTGTTCTGAAGTTAAATAGTCTCGAGTCAGGGTTCAAATAAAAATTTTGTTTAGGTCTGATTTATTCTTGATCTTTGTATTTTGTGTTTATGTTTGGCCAGAAAATACCTTTATAACCTGATGTTTTCTTCCGTGGAGAATTTATATAGGAAGTCCCTGCAGAATTATGTGGTTGAGTTAGTTTTAAAGCTGAAAGTAGTTTGTTCTTTGTGGCTCCCTTCCTCATCACTCATCAGGCAGATCTTTTGAATGTCAACAAGATGAACTATTTAATTTGTCAACATCATGCAGGTATCTGCTGAAAGGAAAAATGATACTGGAAAAGAAAATGTATCTCAGGAGGGGAGGTCATCTCGAAAGAAGCAAAGAAACTCTGGACTGTTGAGACCCGTAAGTATGATCTCACATAACTGATCTTATAATATGCTACTCTGATATGACTGCTATATGCAGGTGATATGCATTTGTAATGATCTATATACGCCAGCCTTAAGGCCATTACGTCAGGTGGCAAAGTAAGATTCTCGTAGATTTGATACTTTACTTTGATAAAGGTGAAACCATTGTCAGCTATCCTGGATGACATATTAAGGCTAAATTAGCATAATTTGTTTTGTTTTCATCTTTGTGAACTATCATGTTAAAAATAAAATCTAAACAGGAACATGGACATTTTATCTGCCAAGTGTGGTTAATGCGAAAAAAGAAAAACAGCATATCTCAACATGTTATTTCCCACGGATAACAGATAGACTGATAATGAAACAGGTTCATGTGATATTTACTAATAAAATTGTAAGGTGGGAAGGGAGTTGCTGATTACATTAGGAAAACTGATATCTTTAAATCTGTCGAGTCGGATATTCTATGGTATTCCATTGAGAAGCATGTTAAAATTTGCAATGACATTTTGTATGATGGCTCCATGACTTATCTCCTAGTAGGTTGTCGGATTTTGGGTGTTGCATCCAATATAAATACAGCTGAAATGTATAAAATCTCTTTTGTGTCAGTTCAATATTTCAACAAGCGCCTTAATCATATTATGTTTTGCCTTACATTGCAGGGTACACATTTTTGTCCAACCAAGTGTGAGTCGTGTTGTAAATAGGTAAGATATCCATTTCAAATAGTTCAATGATCAGTTGGTCTTTCTTACTGTTTACTTTTGCTGGCTTCACTCAATATGAATGCTTATGGTTGGTACCAATTTGGTGTAGGAATTTTACTCTTCTGAGGTGATCTATATATGGACATTATAATTGATAAAGCTATTTATTGGCAATCTCTTAAGAATGGAATCATCAGTCACGTGTACTTGGTTTTCCCATTTAATTACATGAAGTACTAGATCAATATTATTGTTTATTAGAATAAACTTCTTTTTATCACTTGCATGAAAAGTACTTCTCCTTTCTCCTTTGAAATCAATTTTTTTTTCCTCCAATTTACCCCTTCTAATTTGTATATTTTGTAAAATCTTGGAATTTGATACCCAATGTTATAAATTAGTGGTGCTAACAACTTTACTTGCTAATTCTAAACGTTATTTTCATGTATTTCAATTTCATAGACCCTTTAGTACTGCACAGAAATCACTATTGCCTCATTTAGTCATTTTAGTCTCTTGAAACTAAATTTTCTTAGTCTCTTGTTCATCAAGGCCATTGTATTCTGCCTATATAAACTTTTATCAAAGCTTCCTCCATGCCCTAAGTTAAGTATGTAACTGTGTAATGGTAGGTTGAAGTATATATGCAAGAAAGAAGGAGTGAAGACAAGTTCCATAGCTCTTTCTGCACTTGCAGAATATACTGGTACGTCTTGCTTCCTTTATAGTCCGAATGCATGTCTCAAATCTCTAATAAAAGGTTCTCAAGATACAAAAGTGTAATTTGGTGACACGAAACAGAAAACTAGAACGGTTTTATATGTTACACCAATACAATTTGCATTGGGTTAGCTACTATAATCCATGCTTTGGTGAGCCGATATGATATTGATTGATTGTATGACTACTCTACATCTGAGTGACAAGTGAGACATATAAAGGTTAAATAGAAAAAGCACGTAATTCGTTTGCATGGAATTTGCCAAATGCCAACTACCGTTTGGTATACAATACATCTCATTGACATAAGAAAATAATTAGTGTTAGAAGTTGTAAACATGAACTAATGGGACTAAACTTTCATAATTTTAAAGATAGACTGCCATTAGATTTCAATCTGATAAACTCAAGCAGAGCCTGTCAAATGGGAAAATTAATTTCCCAAAGGCAGGCATCCCCAAGCATCGAAATGACAGTGGTTGAATGTTTATAAATCCTTTTTTTTCTAATCCTTTTCCTCAGAATGCGATATAAGGTCATGTTTGAATACGCTTCAGTTTCTCAACAAGAAGAAGGAACGGCTCAATGTGGTACTGTTTCAACCCTACCTGTCTTTGTCATCTATGAATCAGTAAACATTTGTTCTATACAAACTGTAAACTTTGAGCCTGATGGTTACCATCTACGAAGCGTGGTTGTTTATCACGACAATAAATGTTGTATTCATGTCCATAATATTTCTGTAAATCTATGTGTGTATAACTCAACGTGATATCATCTTAAACTAAAAGGAATCACTTATTTGAATTACACCATTTTTCATTGTTTAGTTGGAGATAAGTTCTCAGGTGGTTGGTCAGAAGGATGCGTCTAAGAGTGCTTTTGATATATGGAAAGAGGTGAAATCAAGAAATAATTTATCACAGTTTCTCAAATATCATATCCTTTCAACATTATCCTCACTTTCTTATTTCTTCTTTGTATAAAGATCTTCCAAAAGAGAACGAAGAAACAGGGAAGAAAATGTAGTGAATGTGGCAGCAGCATGTCCAAAGAGTTCGAGTTTCTTTACTCCATGATTTCTAACCGGTAGGTTTAAAGTTGCTTTTCTGTTTTCAATTATCCAAGTCTTAGGTCATATATTTTTTTTACCACTACTATCTCAGGGGCGACTATGATTTAATATTGGATGGGATTCACGAAAATATTTTGCAGCTCCGTTATGTTGATCCCATGATGCAAAAGACAGTAAGTATTAGTTGGCTAGTTTATTCATACCTGCTGAAATTAATTGGTATTTGAACAGCTTCAACAAAAAAAATTGACCTATTGTTCTTCAAGGTGCAATGTTTGGATAGTCTGGTAATTTCTGATATCACTCATCGTTACATAATGCGGACACAGAAAATGTTTCTTCAAGGTACTATTGGTCTAGCCTTTTGCATTGAGTTCCCTTATTATGATGCATATCTGATTCTAAATTTTGTTTAAATTGCTTCACAAAGTCTATCAGCCTCCCATTCCAATATTTATACGTGGTCTGGTAGCACAACTGGAGAAAAAAGACATTGAGTGGCCCAAGTCTTTCCAGAGGTATAATTTGTACTCATATTGACATTTGTTTCCCTTGTTGCTTTGTGTTTCTTTACCTAATTCTCAATCATCTCGTCAGACACCGGACAGTTTTGGCAGAAAGGATGGACATGTTTCGTACATGGTACAGCAGAATATCACCAAATATTTCAAGGCACCTGTCAACAAAATCTTTTGTGGAAGACTCAAGTTCTCTGATGTTGCATATTGTGTCACCAACAACCCTAAGACCGGTAGTTTATTATGTTAAGACATTTCATACTCTATTCACTTAAACCATTTTCTGTTCCATTTCAAGATAGAAAGATTCTGAGAGATAAAACATTGCTTTGCCTTTACATGTATTTTTAAGTCGGCATAGTTGGGAAAAATATGGGGTTTGCACAATATCTAGTTGTTCCATTTACAACAGTTCACATCAGTACAAATGCATTCTCCATTTTCAGGTGGCGTTGCATTTGCTTTCAGATAATGAGAAGAGAGATCTAGGGAAGCTAGTAAATAACATGGTCGCATATGCTATAACCTACAAAAATATCCAAGCGGATCGTAGTTTGAAACATGGCGATACTTCGGATGCAACCAGACTTTCATTTGATCCACCCTTAAGTGAATTTATAGACTTCAAGGTTAGTACATTGGCAGTACATTTCAACCTTTACCAGTGATGATATAAAACCTTTGCTTGTGAAAGTATGTCACACATGATATTATAAATTTTATAAATTTATTTAAATGCTTGGCTTTTATCTCTTATGAGCAGGGTTACAAGTCAGATCATTTTGATCTTGCCTTGGCGGTGAAGCAGGTCTTGGTTCATGAGGTAAGTTATTGAAGCCATAAGCTCATATGTTATGTTTACTTTTCTATTTCATGGCCACCGATATGCATGTGTGTAGGGATCGTCAAATTTTTTGTTGGTAGGTTGTCCATTCGAATTGAATGCATCTAAAACCTAAAGTGATGTTACTAAGTTTGACAGCACTAGGAAGATCCACGTGCTACGAATGTGGTATTTTTTTTTTCAAATTATTTTTAGTATTAGGTTTATCTTTAAAAGTATAACCTAATTTTCTTTCATTTAGTTTAACAAAAAATGGTGTATTTTATTTAATAATGAAATATAGTATTTAATACTATTATCTGAACTCTATGATGAATAAAATTAATAAAAAAAACATTGGGTTGAAAACCAAAAATAAAATTAATATTTTTTTAGTGAAAATGTAAATGCTAAAAAAATTTATAGTGTTTGATTTTGTTATTTAATGATATCTTCATTGTGCTTAAAATAATGATCACTATTATTGTCTTCATAATATAGCTTTCTAATGTCATCCTTTTACATCATACTTTTCGAAAAATAACTCAAATTTGCTATAACTATAATTTATAATGATTATTTTTTATTTATTTTCTATTGGAAGCTAACAAACTATGTCTAAATAATTCGTTCTCAATTATTTTGATTATTGTGGTTGCAAGTGTAATTATATTTGCAAGTATAATATTTCATAATACTTAGATATATATAGTTATTCCCTGGTCATAATGACATAAGAGATACATAAATATTTGAAAATGTCTTTAATTCAAGTCGTAATTAACTAATTATTTCAAAAAGAAAATTTACTTGAAAAGCATAGGAATAATAACATCTTTATTGATTAAAGCTACCCATCTATCTATATATCTTTTCCAACATAAATTATTGTTGCATCTCCTAACATTGTTATACATCCATTATCTTCATTCACGAATTTTCAAGACTATCCTAAATGTGAATAGTTACTAATTCCAGTTTAAATGAATTATGTAATGATGATTATTTCATATTTTATTTTTATCTTAACATTATTTTTATATATTCGTCAACATTTCATCTCTACTTCTGCTTAAAATAATTATCATTAATATTGTCATCAAACATAGTTTTCTAATGTCATCCTTTTGCATCATACTCTTTGAAAAATAATTCGAATTTGTTATAACTATAATTTATAATGATCATTTTTTATTGTAGATTAGAAGCTAAAACATTATGTTTGAATAATTCGTTCTCAATTTTTTTTATTATAGTGGTTGCAATTAGCCATATTTGCAAGTATAACATTTCATAATACCTAAATATATATAATTTTTCTCTAGTCATAATGACATAAGAGACACATAAATATTTGAAAATGTCTTTAAAGTCATAATTATTTTAAGGAAAAAAATTAAATGAAACAGCTTAGGAATAATAACATCTTTATTGATTAAAGATACTCATCTATCTACATATCTTGTCCAACATAAATTATTGTTGCATCTCCTAAAATTGTCATACATGCATTATCTTCGTTCCCAGATCTTCAAGACTATCCTAAATGTGAAAATTTAATGAGTCTAGTTTTAATGAATGATTCATACTTAAAGTAAATTCACTATTTATTTTTATTTAATTAATTTTAATTGTAACTATTTTCTAATAAGTACACGTATTCTAAAATTCAAGATTTAAAATAGAATTTTAGTTATTTTATTTTATTTCTGTAATTAATCTATTTTGTTTATATTACAATTCAGTAAATGCTATTTTAATTCATGTAACACATTATTATAAAAAATATTTATACTATACATACTATTAAGAGGTAAACATAAATCATATTATGCATATTGTTTTAGTGAATAATTTAAACAAATATTTATGTCAAGATCATATCTTTTTTACTTAACAAATAAATTTTTTCCATAGAAAGTTGACATTTTGTATGTTGAATAACTATATTTGATTCAATCATTCTTAAACATATGCATGTTCACTAAATTGTTCCTGTTTAATTGTTTTAATACTTCAATAAAAAATTTATATGGTAAACAATATAATATTTAAAAATTAAAGATGATACTTTTAGTGGTGCATTATATATTTCACACTTATGAAATATCATTTCACACTTATGAAATATCATATATTATATTTAAGAAATCTTAAAATAATTTTTCTCTTACATTTTAAAACTGTTTTTAAAATAACCAAATCGAAACCTAACATCATATGTAGATTAATTCAGAATAATATAATTAAGAATAAATTATTATTTAAAATATATTAATTTGTGTAGGTAATGTTTTGTATGTGTAAGAACTTAAAGATATAATTAAGAATCAAAAATAAAATATAGTAATTAAAAGTTGTAACTTCCTAACATGAATAAGAAAGTTACATTAATAACCTTGACACTTATCTTTTTATGAGGATATTCTTGGCAATTCAAAAGTTTCAAGAAACAACTCATACTTTTGAGGGAGTTATAGATATAGATTATAGATAGATTATAGATTATAGATAGATTATAGATTATAGATAGATATAGATAGATAGATAGATTATAGATATAGAATAGATAGATAGATAGATTCGGAGTCTAATGTTTATGATGATCTGCAGGTTGAAAAGCAAAAGATTCTGCAAGGTAGCCTCTCTAGATCTGCTGATCTGCTGATGCATGAGAATCATGCCTCAATACAGAAAGACATTGGAGTTGGAGTATCATCCAAATCAAGTTATGCAAATGGATCTTCTGTAAAGAAAATAAATGGAAAAAGTCCAACTAATCAGAAATCTGGACTTTCTGTCTCTTCAAATTCGCTACTTGTGGAGTCTGGCAATGCTGCTGCTGCTGATAAAGCAAAATCAGTTGAACAAACAAAAAAGCCTTCTGGGAGCCTGCTCAATTTCTTTGACAGGCATGATTGTGATACTTTTTGTCCATGTTATATTGTTCATAAACTGCATTACATATATAATAAGCATGGAATTCTTGAAATTCTTTTGAATTTAACCGCTTTTACCTGTTTCTAGATAAATGTATAGCACCATCACTAAGTTCATTGTCGTTTAAATCTGCATATATTAATCTCTTGGTATATTCTTCTTTGGAGTTGCCCTTCCATTCTATCTGACTATGTGCTTAGCTTCAGAAGATCCATGCAACTTACTCTAAGGGGATCTGAGTGATCTTGTGACGAGCTATTTTTCTTTTATTTCAATTCAACAGAAAATGGTACTTTGACAATAGAAGGATGTGTCGGTTTAGTGATTGTTGACTTCAAAGACGAGTGATGTGCAAATCAGCTTCATTCTGTTGCATTTATATTATGCTTAAGCGTATGTCCGCTTGATGGTTGAATTCTATGTGTTCTCCAGTATGACATTTTTACAGAAGCTTTCACTTGAATGATACATACTTTTTAATACTAAATTTTGTTTTTCTCTATCTCAAAACTGCTTTGGTGGGATCTTAAACAGGATTATAAATGACAGCGATGGAGGTTCTCAACCTATGCACAGTGCTATGCCGAAGCCTAAGACGGCGAAAAGAGATTCCCATCCTTTGTTGTTTAAATTCCATGAGGTATAATGGAGTAATGGCTTTTCTGTTTAAATTCAATAATGTTGAAGAAGAATGAAACATATTTTAGATTATTTCAATAATGTTGAAGAAGAATGAAACATATTTTAGATTATCAATGGATACAAGATAAACATGTAATAGATAAAGTATAGATAATATAAAAATAGTAAAATATTTTACTGATTGGTAGTTAGAAATATGTGAATAGTGCTTTTTTTGTTGGAAATGTGTAGTAATGATTGATAATATTTATTTAATAGTTATTATTTATATTTATTTTTAGATGTTCACTTCATTTATTGTATTTTTATGATGATAAGCATATTCCCAATTTTGATTTCTGTTGGTTTGATCCATGCAGGGATTCACAAATGCAGTTAAAAGACCTGTACGTATGCGAGAATTCCTCCTGTGATCATCTATTTATCACACTCCAGATATGTGTTATATAATTTAACTTTTTTCAACAGCCTCAACTATTTTACACTTCACCTTCATCGAATAATTATATGTAGCAGCTTTTCTTTTCCTTTGTGTTTGAAACACATTCATCTTCTTCTCTTCTATACCAAAAAAAATAAAAATAAATAAATAAATAAATAAAAATAAAAAAAAAAGGTGTGGTTTTGTGAAAAAAATGCATTGAGTAAAATGTTATTATACTTGTTATATTGTTTAAAGCAAAATTCTAAGTATAATTAGAAACCCGAACGTAATAGGTGAACGGTAACTTTAATTTATTAGAAAGTTTGTGTAACACCCCACTTTGATTTTACAGATATTTTGGATTTTCCAAAAATCAGTACAAATTTTTCGAGATCATTTTTGAAATTTAATGGGTGTTAAACAACATTTTTCATAACCCAAGTCTTATCTGGGCTCACGGGGATTATTATTTGGTTTTTACAAATGGTTTTCATTAACCAAAACATATCATACGAGACTTAATACTCAACATGAATAATAAAACCGCATTATCATACCCAATAATCAAGGGTTCCACAAGTTTCTAAAAACAAACATGTCATACGTTTTGGAAAATAGTTTAAACAAGTCTCGGCATAAAGGTCCAACATAGCCTTATTTATTCTAACGGAAGCAATAAAATGCATAAATAAATGACCGACCCACTCGCCTCTTCTTGTCACTCTGCTCCTGCTTAACCTGCATCGGTGAAGAGCAGGTGGAGATGAGCACAAGATGAAAAAGCGTGCTCACCACTATGCACATATATCACAACATAAATAATGAAGAGAAGGTATGGTTAGAGTATGAACATAAAACAATTATTTTGTCACGTCTACTAATCACATCACAACATAATACCCACGTGTACACATCTTTCATTAGCCAAGGAAAGGGGATTCATTACCCTAACTCATGGGGGTACGTGCCATACGACAAGACACGGCCTTTCATTAGGTCTTACGGAGACTTGCCTCGCAAGGTAACCGTATTACATCGACGGGGACAACCGTACTGACGGCCGAATCGGCTCACGCCGATAGGCTACATTGTTTACGTACATACTAAAATCATACCAAGTCAACATTATGATAAACACATGGCATAGCAAATTTTACAATTACAACCCACCTGGATAGCTCGGTAGTAAATTGCACACAAGAGCAAGTACGTAGGATGAGGCTCGACTCCTCAAACACCTACATTTAAGCGAGATAATTTATCAATAATTTATCTCACTACTCAAATTTAACATAAAACTCATACTTAATAAAAATTAAGTCTTAAGGGTTTTAATCGGATTTTTCGTGGACTTGGAACTCTCTCATTTTTGAAAAATTATGACTCGGAGAACTAAAATTTGAAGTCTCGGGACTTAAAATAATTTTTTCCTAATTTATATCATTTGAAAAATATTTTTAAAATCGAGACTGGTATTAAAAACGGGCATTCAGAACACAAAACAGGTCAAAAAGTCGAACTGGGCCGCACTGGCCACTAGAAAACAGACCAAGAGTACAATTGGGCCTGGCACCAAAATTGGGCCGTAGGAGGGCCTGGACTAGGCAGATGGCACGCGGGCTGGGGGTGTGGGTTCGCGGGCCGCGCGGGCTGGAATCAGGCCCTGTGGCCCGCGCTGAAATTGGCCCTCAATAAATAAAAAAAAGAGGCCTATTACTAAGGCATGTGATCGAACCCCCGACCACACACAAGGAATAGCGGACAGATGACACTGTGCTACAAGCTTAGTTCGCAATTTTAATTGAACTCATAAATTACTAATATTACAATGAAAGGCTTGCAACTTGAAAAGAAAGTACAGAGCTGGGAAAAAATTACAGAACTTGTGAAATCACAAGCAGACTTAACCGAACTCGACGACGACATCACCAATGGCAACCGGGTCAAAAATATAAAACGTTTACTGAAAATAACACATTTACAAGGTTTCGAAAAATATAAAGGCCGGTTAAAAAGAGTCAAAAGTCGGAACGACAATACGTAGTTCGAAAACAACCGAATGACACAACGATAACGATAAGGCTCGAAACAATAAAACGAGACTCCGAAACACAACAAATTTAACACAGCAACATAATGGACCAATTTCTCACAAAACGAGAGTTCCGAAAGTCTACGAAAATTCACGAATAGCGACATATGAACCGATTAAAGAATATAACTCAACCGACAAATCAATTGAATTCGAAACCGACAAAATGATTCAGCGCGAACAAACAATAATCGAACGATATCATTCTGAAAAGCAATTAACGAGAGGGTTTCGAAAAGGTTACCCTTCTTCGAGAAATTTACGAGAAATCGGAAAATGGTCGAAAGGAGACGTAATGAACGGAGTCTCGACGGAACTCGAAACTCTTCCGAAGCTCGAACTGAGCGTCGATGAGTGGCTCGCGGACTGGCTGCTGGGGGAATCTCGCCTCGACGGTCGACGGTGGCTCGAGCTCCTCGGCTATGGCAGACACGGGGAGAACGCCGGTGAATTGAGGCTGTTCGTGGCTCGCCTGCGAACAAGGTGGTCGTGCGGAGAGGATGATGGTCACCGGGAGAAGATGCTGCTCGGAGAGTTCCGCTGCTGGAAGGCCTCGCTGGAATTTGCAGGTTCTCAATTTTTTTTTTTTATTTTTTAAACGAACAGGATGCTGAGAGAGATATGAGATTACGTCTCCACAACCGAGTCTTAAGTAGAGTAGAACCAGATGTGCGAACGTGCAAGAGGATCTCGCGAGAGAATCGCGTTTGCAATTCAATTTGCACGACTCGGTCACGGTGCAGAAGGGAAGAAGGAAAAGGCCGAACAAATTTCTGCTCACAACAGTTTGGGTTTCATCTGCTTGGGCCAAGGATTAATCTTACTGGGCCAAAAATTATTAAGAGAATTGGGTCAAGGGATAAAAGAATTTTGGGCCAAGGAATAAACATAAATGACCCAAAAATTGTTAAACCACAAATGGGGCTAGACTTAATCTCAATTGGGACGGAAATAAACGCATTAACAAGAACTCCCGATCAATATAATTGACGACAAATAATAAATTAATCCAGATTATCTATATTTATAATACACGCAATATATATTTATATAATAATAATAGACATTTAGAACAATTAGACATTTAATCACAAATAAATAAATAATAATAATAATAATAATAATAATAATAATAATAATAATAATAATAATAATAATAATGGCAATAATAAACCAATAAATAATTTTAAATAATTTTAATTCAAACGGGGCGTTACAGTTTGTGATGGAATATTTTAGGTTTCATATATTTTTGATTTCCCCTTTTTCTAATAGCCATGATAAATCAACAAAGACATTGAAAAGTATTTCCAAAATATCAGCCACTAGGTGTTTGTTTACAAATCAAGTGGATCCTACTCTATCTGAGTGTTATGTACACTTCTATGTACATTTATTATGTACTTATAGCATTTTTCTATTTTTAATTTATATTTAATTCATATTCAGAATTTAACTCAATTTTAACCAAACCCTACTATCATTAATATGATTAATATGATTAAATAATATCAATCAATCATTCTGCCTCAACTTTAATTGATTATTCACCCACTCATGATTTTAGTTAATCATTATTACTTCACATCATTTTTCTCTTACTTTTACATTAAATCAGTTTTAAATATTTTATTTTAAATATTATTTTAATATAAACTCGAAATCCTATTAACAACTAATCATACTATTATTTTCAAAATTAATCCCAGTAAACATAAAAAAAAATACTCGTTTTAAGTGGATATATTTTTATCAAGCACGAGTGTCAGTCTCTCTCTCCTTAGGACCTAGGATGGTGCTCATACGAAATCTTTAGACCAAATTTTAATAGGCATTAGCTGGAAGAAGATGTGAATTGCTAAACACTGCCTCCCTTATTACTATTTAACCCCCTCCCCCCTCTCCCCTCGACCGTATTGCCCTCCTCATAATTCCCTCTCATTCAAAAATTTTGAAATTTCTTGCACTCCTCCCGTCGAGTTCTCACGAAAAAACAATTTGAAAAAAGTAGCAAATCCTTACCACGACCGGGGCAAAGGTCTCATGATTCCTGTAACGCCCCACTTTGATTTAACGAAAATCTATGACTTTTCAGAAAAATCAATTTAATTTTGCAAAACCCATTTCAAACATTTATGGAGTAACTCATTTATTCCAAATCATCACAATATACAGCCATAGCAATGACATCAAACTTAATCCAACACCTTATCAAAGGTTTCATCCGAAGTCATAAATACCCAAATCGAGTTTTCAATCCCAAGTTTAAAAGACATAACAATGTCAAACGGGGCATCTCCCTAACAATGTTTCAAATAACGTAAATAAATAGAGTTTGAAATATCCAAAGTCATAAATTCAGTCATAGTTCAAAAGCGGAAGAAACACAAATAATAGTTCAGTCATCTAGACCGACCACCACTCGTCTCGCCTCGCGGTGCCCGCAACCTACATCTGGGGGGGGGGGGGGGGATGAAATGTGGGTGAGCACAAATATCCACTTGCTCACCACTATGCACATAAATAACAAATATAATAGGACATGTATGGTCACAACATGTATACGAATCAATTATCTATCACATCTCTTATCCAAAGTTCAGTCTCATGTGCACACCTAATCAATAGACTACTGTTGGTCCATGTATCGAATGCCTTCTCTAAGGCCTTACAACGATGCCCAAACAGCAGGAGTATCCCCCGACGGCCAAGACCCCTACCTTGGTCTTGCAACGAGATAGTTATCTCCGGCCAAACACAACCATGGTCTTACAGGCGATGCGCCCTTTGCTCAGGACGAAAAGAGGAGATTACCCCAACAGGGTCCGTTCTATAGCTACGAGGATAACCGTTCGACGGCCATACAACTCACATCGAAGGCAACATGGTTCACATGC